CTCTTGTTGGCACGGTTCAATGCCCTGAATGTTTTCTCGGGGTCTGAGAGTCCTTCTAGCAGTTCTCCAGTCCTCGAAGAATTTCTAGGCATACACCTGAATTCCACAAGAGTTCAAACGTGAGAATTTCAATGAAAAGATTGGGTATAGAGAAAACTGACTACACTAAGAAATTTTGTACTTCTTTCAATTGTAATTGATAACACCGTTAACTCCCCGGCAACGGCGCCAAAACTTGATAACGCTCAACTATGCCTTATAAAAGGACACGCGGACTTGCAAATATAATCTGAGTATTTATGCCCAGAGTGGAACCCACAGTGAATTAACCTATCAATTACTTTTGTTGGACTTACTAAATTCTATAGAATCAACTTCCTCAAACGTTGTAATTAACAGTTTATGGTATTTCTAACAACTAAAACTGAAAAGAAATAAATAGCTGAAAACTAACTATGCTTGAATTGTAAACAATTGGAATAAAGTTCTAAGGTAATGGTTTCCCCCGTTGTTGAGTTCCTTAGTTGTATGTTTTTTTATAGCTTTGACTTAGTTGCCTCTATCAATCATGAACTCTCCAGCTATCATAAATCTCTCTCAAGCAATTATGATAATTTACTAGACGCACTCTCTCAAGCTACGCTAGCTAGATTCGCATTACAATTCACTTAGATCGCACCAGAGGTATCGTTATCTCTAATCCAACCTCTAAACCCTCGGTTATGACTCTCGCCTATACTCCGGGAGTGATGTTGTTCAAACAACTACCTAAATATGCACTCTCTCTCTCAAGTAGATACATAATAAATAGGAACGGCTAATTGAGGATCCTTTCAATTAACCAAAATCAAAACGTAGTTGAACAAATAGAGATTAACAACTAACTCAAAACTATATTAATATAACAACCAATTCATCCCCAACGGGTTTCACCAAAACCTTAGATTAAAAGATTTAGCTACTCATAACAATAATGAAAACTACAAAAGAATTCATAGGCATTGATAGAAGAACAAATTAGGGAGATAAGATTGTTTTCCAAGTTGCCTCTTTGCCTCTCTTGCCTTGTTCTCAAACCTCCGAACTCCCCTTCTCTTGGACACGTTAAACCTTTTATAGTTTGTGTGGTTTTTTCTTGGACTTTCGAATTTGCCCTTTTCAAACATTTTTCCCGCATCTGGACTAGCGCGGGCGCGCTAAGGCCGCGCTATTGCCCGCGCTAGTGAAGTTATGTTCTGTTTCTGATGCCTGGACTAGCGCGGGCGCGCTAAGACCGCGCTAGTGGGGTTTCCCACTGCCAAGCCGAGCTTCATTCCCTTATTTCGTCCATTAGTTCCAATTTTTGCCCGGATCACCATCATAAGTCTTCATTTGAGTAGTGCACTCCTGTGAAACACAAAAGTCACCATTAGAGCCAATATTGCATTATTTACACACTTAAAACAATAAAGCATCCTTAAGTTAGAGCCCAAACGTAGGCCAAACTATACAATTTAGCCTATTATCAGTAAGCTTTCACTTTTCTTTAAGTATTATAATTTAATTTTATATAATTTTTGAAATACTAATTCAATTTAAATTTTTGTATTGGGTCGCTACTAAAGTAACATGGAGGAATTCATTCACAGTCATCCAGCTGGTGAATCGGGCGAGCCAACCCAACCTTTGGACGAGGATGCTGAAAGAATATGGTTGGAGTCTGTTGGCGGTCCAAAATGGGGCAAGGTATACGGGCTTCCTACTAAAAAGTTCCATCGCTATAAGTGTGGAATGCAAGGAATAGGGACTTCCTCGCAAGGTGAGCAACTTAATGGGGAGAGCCTCTCTGCTATGCAGGAGATTGTGACAAAGCTCACATCCGAGCTAGAAGCGGCCAAGGAAAGAGAAAGGGTTAGAGATGCTCAATTCCTTGGCATGCAAGCTTAGATCAGAACTCTCCTATCTACTGGAGCTTTTTCGTTGCCCCGGTCTCGTGAGTCATCGCCAGAGGTTCGACCTCCATGCGATCATTCCTCCCATCCTGCTCGTGATCGTTCCTCCCGTCCTCCCCGTGGTCGTTCTTCCCGTCCCCCACAAGACCCTTCTCTACACCGTCTTGTAGATGAAAGTTCATCAGACGGTGATAATGATGTTGTACAAAACACCCCTTGTCTTTTATATACTTTGAACTAGACAAATAGAACCAGTTTTGAACTTGTTGTAATTAGTTCTAACTTGGTTTTGGATTGCTATGTTCAATTGAACTTTAATTTGTTGTTGTTATTGTTGTGTTGCTGTTTTAGTTGTTGTTGTGTTGTTATTGTTGTTGTTGTTTTGTTGTTCTGTTGTTGTTGTATTGGTATATGCTGGCAGGTGGTGTAGCTACCAAAAAAGGCATTTTCTGCCAAAACAGGTGGTATATGACCAAACACTTGAAAGTTATCTCTTGATAGTGAGAAAATTACCGACCAATGTTGGTCGGTATATTAAAACGACCATCAAAATAACGACCAAGTGTATTTGACCGCATTTTGGTCGGTAATTGACCATAACCGACCAAAGTTGATCGCTTTTTTGGTCGGTAATTATCGGATTTCTAGTAGTGTTTGTGGTATTAATTATTGAATACCAAATTTTATTTAGGGGTGGGAGTTCGGACAGTTCGAATTAAATATTAAAATTTTGGCTTGGATATTCAATTTTCGGATTAAATAAATGACGATCCAAATCCAATCGAAATAAGCTCAGATTTGATAGGAATTTTTTAGTTTGATTTTTGATTAATCAATTTGGATATTTCGGTTTTGAGCCATAAGTTTAGATATTTCTTCTTCTTACAACAATGAACATCCAAATAAAATATTCATGTTAAATTACCTAAAAAGTTCTTCATTCTCACTGCAATCATCCAAATAAAGTATTCAAGTAATGAAATCATTATTAAGGAATACAACAAAGACATTAATAAGGCGGATGAGAAGTAGCAATAGTAAAACTATGTCCAAATAGAAAATATATTGACAGTAACTTAGTAATTAGTGTTGAATATATGAGATAATGTCTAATGGCTAGGGTATCGGACTTATTACTATTGACATATGGATAATGGACTAAATATAAAGTATAAAAATTTCGGATTGTCAGATATCCAAAATTCTGAAGTACCAAATCCAATATCTCATCCGAAATCCAAAACATTTAAATATTAAGTTCGATATCCAATCTATAATTCGGAAATCCAAACAAAAATGCAAAAAATTCGGATTTCGGCTTTGCCCAAACTATGTCCACCCCCAGTTTTATTCGGCAGAACTCCTTCCAAACCCTCTCAAAGCTATACAATCCGTCTGAAACTTTTTGAGTTCTATCATTTGACCTTATTTATTTGTCTCAACACGATACATTTTGGGGATCTTTACTCAAATATCTGTTCATATTTATTGTTTGCTTTTTCTTACCATATACATAGATTATACATAAAATATACATATATTATACCTCTACTAACTATTTTTAATTTAAGTAGTTGGATGAACTTCAGCACACTTGGTTCAGCACACTTGCTACTTCATGCCCGTCTACTAGAATGCTGAAGTTCTGCGTGATTGCCTTTGCTACTTCAGCCCAGTATGCTGAAGTTACGCGAAAAAGTGGGTACGCTTGCAATTTTTTTTGCAAAGCGGGCACAAGTTAAAACGTGACCCAAAAAGCGGATATAGATGCAAATCCCCCCATTCTTTTGAGAAGTATTTAATGGGCTCAAATAGGCAATTAAATAAAGGAATTTTTACCTCCTATAGCAAAGGTTAACACCTTATTTATTTTAAATAAAACCATTTAAAAAAATTATATTCTATAGATACCTTTTAACGTTTATAGCAAAATATTTAATTTTGGTTACCTCCTAGCCCTAAGCCACTAAATATGCCATTCTCTTCTCCCATCCCATTAAAATTTTCGCTCTCCTCCTCTTTCTAACGCATAGCAACAACAAACCCTAACCCACACAAAACAAGCGCAAACCATCATTCTTTTTTGCTAAGTATTTAGTTTAATTTGGTTCAACAAATTTGACAGCTCCATATATAGTTTTTATGCTTACCCCAAAAAACTTTAGTTTAAGGAAGGATGCACGATCTGTCAAGATCAAGAAGAATATGGATATGGTCAAATTCAAGGTTCGCTGCTCCAAGTACCTCTACACACTCTGTGTGTCCGACTTTGAGAAGGCCAACAAGTTGAAGCAGTCACTTCCTCCAGGTTTGAGCGTGCAAGATCTTTGTAGATGGAAGGACTATTTGGCTACAAGGCGGAAATTAGGGTTTGTTGTTGAGCAAAGACAACGGAGTTTGGGTTGAGCAACTTGATTTTCTGTTAATATATTTCAATGTATTTTCAATGTATCATGCTGTATTTTCATGTATTTCATTGTATTCATTGTCTCTTTTTTCATTGTAATTCAATGTATCTCACTGTATTCCGTGTATATCATTGTATTCACTGTCTTTTTTTTCATTGTATTTCAATGTATCCCGTTGTATTCTATGTATTCATATATTTTTTCAATTAATATAATTTATGTATTCAGATGTATTATATAATTTATCTGAAGATTGCTATGTTTTTGGGAGTTTTTCCAGTTGAGAATCTTTTTTATAACCGGAAATACAAATTTTGTGTGTTATAATTGAGTTTGTTGAGTTATATTAGTAGTCTATTATGTTAATTGATACACTTTCCGTTTAAAAACAGTGTAATCCCCTGTTTCACGCCGTGAATACAGTCGAATACAGTAATCTGTGCAGCTGTAATCCCATGTTTCACGCCATGAATACAGTCGAATACACTCGTGCAACTGTAATCCCATGTTTCACGCCATGAATACAGTCGAATACACTCGAATGCAACAACTGATTAGCTAGATTTCGCTGATTCACGCCTATTTTTGCTACTGTATTCATAAATACAATACTTTAAATACATCAAATACATCCTAGCACACAGAAAAGTTATCTATTATAATACATACTGACCGTCTCTGCTTTTCCGGCCTATTTGTTCCCTCCACTTTCACCTCCGTTTCTGCTCAATACAAAACCCTAAAACCCCAAATCGAATTTGAATTCTTCTAGTGTTGGTTAATTTGTTCCTAAAAGCACCTTCACCACTTCTCTTTGAAATTCTTGTGTGAACCTCCACTAGTATCACTAATAATTATCGCGCAAAATGGTGGAATTGGAGGAGAGCAAGTTCGACATGCGCCTGGAACTATGGGCACTTAGGATTCCTCGCGAGCATTGCAAGGCTGCCATGAGAATACTCCATGGGTATGGATTATCCGTCCTTTTAGATTGACTTTTTTGCTAGACAAATTATCATATAAACAATTGTTTTCCTTGTCAAAATAAAAGTAATGTATATGACACGAGGGTGATCCTTGATAACTGTGTAGGCGTTCGATGATATTCCTCTGCTAAATTTACTAACAAGTTAGAACATGCCTTATGTTAGATGCTTGATTCTTGTGAGTAAATCCCACAGTTCATATCTTCTCTATATTCCAATTTAATTAATTGAAAAGCCTTAATGTACACGGACTCATATGTGGAACTCGCTTTTCTCCTATCTATTGGTGAATGAAAAGTCACATATCTGAAACTCACATTAGATGTTGTTTGAAAGATCACTTTTTGGCTCGCAACTGTATTTATTGTTATATTTACTGCTGTAGAGCACCACACCTTCTACAAAAAATGCTAAACATCAAATCTTTTGTTGGTATCTCCTTTGTTGAGTGTCTCATTTACCTTTTAACTCTTTTTTCCGCTGCTGGTGATGAAAGATCATTTCTTGTAGGCATTTATTGGATAGGCCACGCGTAAAGCCTATCACTGAGGATCCAACAAATGAAAAAACCCGGTTCATGATTTTCTCTGAAAAAGTCAAAAGACCAGGTAAATGAATATGTTACTTTATGACAGATAGTCTAGGAACATATCCCACTGATTTCTGCTGTAAATGGAAATTTCTTGTCTGTTGAGATTTGAGATAACTGACCTCTTTCATGCATGAAAAAACTGAGCATGAGCATTCTCATTTTATGTCATGACTTGGAAAACAAGATCTGCTACGGGGACATCCTTGCAATAGTATGTATTCTTCTATGCATACCCGTAAGAAGAAAAGAGAAACAACTAAAGAGTTGTCAAATATAAAGCAACGAATCAGAATATCTTGATTCACTTTGATGAAAGTTTTGCATCTTGCTGGTTGACTGGATTGTTGGCTCAAATCAAGCTTAAATTTTGTCGCATTTTTACCAGCTTGGGCAAGATAATGTGGGTTTATAGTTCATTCCATTCCTTGATTTAGAAAGCTAGACAGGAAGCTCATTACTGCCTCTTCCCATTCTTGATCAGATATGATCTTCGGAATTGACTTTTCTTTGCCTATCATGTTTTTTTCCTGCTTCATCCACGAAAACAATTAGAAAGCAGAAAGCTCTTGGGACAGACATTTCTTTTTATCAGTTTTATTATTGTTTTCTTCCTTTTCTTTTTGAAGGTGATTGTTGGTATTATTTTGCGTTAAGGAGTATATACTAATGCTTTAGTTTCTATTCAGACAATTCAAGATAGGTCATGGGCTCTGGCTATAGGAATTTCTGATATATAGTGTAATACTTCCGATGGCAACTCTCTGCTTGCAATAGCCTTCCTTTTCTAATTAAAACAAGGTTGTGTGTTGATATTTCTGTGTCATATATTGTTCTCAACCAAGTATTGGCTGTATGAAGTTTTTTTCATACATTATTCTTAAGCAACTTTGTGACTCAGTAACTAGTTCATTAAGAGGACTCGTCATCCGTTTATGTTACTTGTGGCTTCTATTCATTTTCTGTCTAGTCTCATCCTGGGAGCCACTGTTACTAACTTTGGATGTCTGAGATTCAAATTTATATTGAACACTGGTACATTTTGACCACTGTCATCAACATCTTTTTGCTAACATGCCTATTTTTTGGCCAATTATGATACAGACTTATCTGATATTCCTGCTCAAAAGCTTGCTGAACTAAAAGGCCTGTGTCAGTTTGAAGTTGCTCCCTATTTGCTGACACTTGGTTATTCTTACTGGAGTGCAGGTAAGCGATTAGTCCTCCACTATAAGTTGAACTATGAGTCCTATTAGCTTTTGATAGTTCCTGATATTGTACATCTTTCTTTTGCGATACTGCAATCCATTTGACTGGAATAGTCCGGATTCTAGCTTAAATAATTGTCTCTTCTTTTCTCTCTCATTCATTCTGTATATTCTTTCTGAAATTATGTAAACTTTCCCGAGGTGATATTCATTTTAAACAAAATCATAGTGGATACAAATTATCAATAATGTTAGTAGAACAAGAATGATTTCAAAGCTTAGTTTGGGAACATCTTGCATATTCCGTTACTATTGCAAAATGTAGCTCACCTTAATAAAAGGAAATTGTAGAAAGGCGCTGAAAGTTGTGTATCTTGCGAAAATAGAAAGCCACTAAAATTATGTATTCTATGTCGAGTGAAATGCATCAAAGTGAAGTGCATCAAAGACGAGGGAGCATAGTTTTGATGGAAGAGACACATATTAGGCGAAGATGGCAATTGTACTTCCATAAACTCTTGAGTGAAGAAGGGGATATGAACATTGTGCTAGGTGATTTGGAGCACTCCAAGAGTCGTCGAGATTTTAGATTTTGTAGGCACATAAGAGTTGAGGAGGTCGAGGGGGCTATGCGTAGGATGAGCTGGGGTAGAGCGACCGGGCTAGACAAAATTCCTATGGAATTCTAGAAAAAATGCGGGTAGGGCAAGCTTGGAATGGCTCACTGGGTTGTTTAACGTTTTTCTAGAACGAAGAAGATGCTAGAAGAATGGAGGTGGAGTACGTTCATTTGTTGTACATGAACGAGGGTGATATCCAAAATTGCAACAACTATAGGCGTATCAAGCTGTTAAGCTATACAAATGTTTGGGAGAGGGTGGTAGAAGAAAGGTTGAGGAGGATTGTTGCCCATTTCTAAGAACCAATTTGATTTCATGCCAGGTCGTTCGACTACGGAAGCCATTCACCTAGTAAGTGGTCGAGTAGTATAGGGAAATGAAAGACTTGCATGTGGTGTTCATTGACCTAGAGAAAGCATACGACAAAGTCCCGAGAGAGGTTCTTTGGAGATGTTTAAAGGCTAAAGTTCTGCTTGTAGCCTACATTAGGGTGATTAAAGACATGTACGATGGAGTTAAGACTCGAGTAAAGGATAGTGGGAGGAGACTCAGAACACTTCCACGTTGTGATAGGGTTGCACCTGGGATCGGCCCTGAGCCCGTTTTTGCTTTCCTTGGCAATTGACGCACTGGCGCGGCACATTCAAGTGGAGGTGGTATGGTGTATATTATTTGTAGATGACATAGTTCCAATTGACTAGACGCGAGGTGGTGTTAACGAGCGGCTAGAGGTATGGCGACAGACCCTAAAGTCTAAAGGTTTCAAGTTAAGTAGGATCAAGACAAAATACTTGGAGTGTAAGTTCATCGACGTAACCTAGGAAGCAGACATGGATGTTAGGCTTGATACACATGGCATCCCTAAGAGAGATAGTTTCAAGTACTTTGGATTAGTAATACAGGGAAATTGGGAGATTGATGAGGATATCACACATTGTATTGGAGCAGGGTGGATGAAATGGAGGCTCGCTTTTGGTGTTTTGTGTAATAAGAATACAACAACAACAATAACAACAAAAAACCTAGTGTATTCCCATAAATGGGGTCTGGGGAGGATAGTGTGTACGGCTGTACGCAGACCCTACCCCTACTTTATAGAGATAGAGAGGCTATTTCTATAGACTCTCGACGAAAGGTCTTGTGTGATAAGAATGTGCCACTAAAGCTTAAAAGTAAGTTCAACAAAGTGATGGTTAGAACCAACTTTGTTGTATGGGGCAGATTGTTGGATAGTCAAGAACTCTCATGTTCAAGAGATGAAATTAGCTTAAATGAGGATGTTGAGATGGATATGTGGCCGTACCAGGTTAGATAAGATTAAGAATGAAGTTTTCGGGAAAAGGCAGGAGCTGCCCCTGTGGAGGATAAGATGCGTGAGGCGAGGTTGAGATGATTAGGGCATGTAAAGAGGAAAAGCACAGATGCCTCAGTTAGGAGGTGTGAGAGGTTGACCTTGGTGGGTACGAGAAGGGATAGAGGTAGGGCAAAAAAGTATTGGGGAGAGGTGATTAGGTAGGACATGGCGTAGTTGGAGCTTACCGAGGACATGACCCTTGATAAGAGGGTGTGGAGGTCGAGAATTAGGATGGAAGGTTAGTAAGCAGTCGAGAGTTTCTCTTTTTCTTTCTCAGACCGGTAGCATTAGTGTTAGACCGGTAGCATTAGTGTTAGCAGGGTATCTTTTTATTCTTGGATTGTTGGTACTATCTTTGATTGCATTCTTTCGCTTCGGTTTTCTTAATATCTTGTTGTTGTTACCACTCGTTACCATCGATGTTGCGCGGACTCTCCAAAATGCTGCCGCACCTGTGTCGGATCCTCCAAAAATACACTACTTTTGGAGGATGCGACATGCACCCGGAGACATTTTCAGAGAGACTGAGCAACATAGGTTACCATTGCTTCTTTTCATCTTGTCTTTAGCTGAGGGGCTATTGGAAACAACCTCTCTGCCCTCCTAGGGTAGGGTCCCTAGGAGTAAAGTCTGCATACATACTACTCTTCCCACACCCCACTCGTGGGAACTCACTGGGTTTGCTGTTGTCGTTGTTGTTGTGTTTAGCAGTTCAAAACCAGTAAAATTTGTTATACTGAGAAAGGAAATAACTATACCCTTAATTGCAATTTTTAGTTACCGTCCGTTCTGGCAGTGGTGCTATCAGTGAAAATGATTTTTGACGGTGGCAAAGTATTTTTGTTTTGATAACTTTACGGTGTTAAAACTTCAGCCTCCTATCTCTAAACTGTAAGATTGTGTTGTCTATGGCCTTATTGCGAGTTGGTGTGAGCTATAGTTAATAACCTCCTACATTATATTTCTTGTAGTAATTTGGTAAGTTGTTTTATTTGTTAGGTTAGCACCTCTGCTTATATAGACCTTATTTTAAATATTTCATAACCTGCCAAAAATATCTTTTGTAAAGTAGGCATTTAAGTGAAATTGTGTCTCTCATCATTTTTACCCTTTCACATGGTTGTAGAGGCATCTACTTTTGACCCTTCCTATATTCTTGTGTCCTTTGTTAATCTAAATAAATTGAACTTGAAAAATGGAGGAGAGGTGTGGGGGACTTGCAACAGGTGAACTAAGAAGTAAATAATCTAAAATACAATAGTGCTCTCATTTGTGATCCTTACTCATGCATTTCTTTTATTTACCATTACCATTTCTTTGTTCATCAGCTTATATTCATGTGCATAAAAGTCATGTTAAGCGTACCATATATGATATATATGTATACCTGATACTTATAGTTTTGGCATCCATTTACACCTCCATCAATGTCGTGTCATTATTACACAAAATATGCAATTTTCTTGTCCTTTAGAATATAACTAACTCACCTAAGAAGACATGCAATACAAAGTTATAAATTTTATGACCATTACAGATAGGTTATATTGGTTTCAAATCCAATAATTGAGATTCACATGACTAGTTGCCTTATTTTCACCAATTGCTACATTGCAGACCATATATTAAAGCAGATTCTTCCCCCTGGCCTTGAAGTACCATCATCATTTGAGACAATAGTTAAGTATTTCAATGCAGCATTTTTCTCTCTTTATCTTTTCTATACTTTCTTTATAGGTTTTAGAGAATCTTCATTGTACATCTCTCTTCCTTTAATTCGAAGTCAGAAATTTCAGCATTCTGTCCTTCCAACTGAGGTCCCTAAATAATTGAGGTGATATTTCTGCAGGTCACATTGCTCATTTAAATATAACTGATGAGCTTCTTCCTTACAAGGACGTAATCGGCAAAGTTATTTATGATGTATGTTCTCTAATTTATGGCCTTAATGAATGTGTCTTCCATTTAGCTATGTCCATGAAAAAAGGAATCAACATACACTTGGTTTTCCCCTCTTATGCATGAATCTCTGCTATAGTGCAATGTAAATGTTTTGGATCAGATTTAATTTCGTCTCCTTAATATTTTTGATGGAACTAATTGATAAGAATGAGATACTTGTTTTTTCTCCCTAAACAAAGATCTTTCCTACTTAAGAAATTGCTTTTCCTTAACCTAAGATTTGGTGCCAGACACTTGATTTTACCTCATCTGCATTAGGGCCAAGCTGCTCCCTTCCATCTCCTTCACTTTATCTCCAGGCATCTATGTGATAATATTTCTATCATGGTTTCAGTTTCGTTTAATGAGAGAATTCTACCCTGTTTCTGCCTTTCCCAAGTCACCGATCTTTTTCTTAATTTGAGCAAGTTATTCATTCCTGATCCTTCCAGAAAAACTACCCCAGGATCCAGACAGTTGTGAATAAAGTTGGAACAATTACCAATGAATTTCGTGTGCCAAAATTTGAGATACTGGCTGGGAAAGATGATATGGTCACAGAAGTGAAGCAATATGGTTCAACTTTCAAGCTTGATTATAGCTTGGTGTATTGGAATTCTAGATTGGAACATGAGCATTTAAGGCTGGTCTCACAGTTCCAGGTAGGGGAGACCATATGTGATATGTTTGCTGGCATTGGTCCTTTTGCTATACCAGCAGCGCAGAAAGAATGTGTAGTGTATGCAAATGATTTGAACCCAGATAGCATTTGTTATCTGAAAATTAATGCCGAAATCAACAAGGTTGATCATCTAGTTTACCCATACAATCTGGATGCAAGGAAATTTATTTCTCAACTCATGGCCGTATCCTGTAACGGAAGCAATGCCGAAGCTGATGCCGATTTCTCTGAGAAACCCAGTAGCCAAGCAGATGGAGAGACACTATCTAAAGACTGTACGTGAATTATTCAGCTGTATACTGGTTATCTTACCCCCAAAAGCATTTCATTTGTTAATCTGGACTACCCCTGCAGATGAGGTCAAAGAAGTACAAGAGAAAACCTCATGCAACATTGCAGGACCTGATGATTCATCTATGGTGGCAGCTGTGAGTGTAACTTCCGTGAAAAGACGTTCTGAGAGTTCTCAAGAAGGTGGGGCTGGCAAAGAAATGATAAATGCTCTAGTGTGCTTTGTGATAATCAATTATGTGCATATTTAAGAGTTAGTTTTCTGTTTTATTCCTGTCGAATATGCTGAACCCAGTATATGTGTGAATACCATGCTTTTGAGATGCTTTGAACACAAATAACTAAATTTGCTCATTTGGTGCACTAGAGGGAGAAGGCAGATCTGCTGTCAATGATGGTGTTTCTGTTGCTGGTAGGAAAAAAAGAGGACCAAATAAGAGAATGAAGGGTTCTGAGTCATTGAATACGAAGCCCTGGGAGCATGTGGATCACGTGATCATGAACCTACCAGCTTCTGCTCTGGAGTTTCTTGGTAAATCTACTATGATTATTTCTCCCTCCAAACATGCATATCTTTTACTGTGGTCAACAGTTATTTGCTTGTTAGCTGTCTTTGTCCATGTTTCTGAATGTCTCTTTCTAATACCATATGTAGATTTATCATGCAAGAATCTGACGGGGATAATTATGATGGTGTTTTAAGCATCAGTGGAAATGTTTTAACTTTGTGTCTTAATTTTAGAATCCAACCAATTTACAAACTGCCGTAAGGAGGGAAATGTGAGAAGCTTGCCCATTGCTTCCAGCAGCACCAACATTGGGTCAAAGCCCGGAAACATGTTTATCTTTTGGAGATACGTTAATGGACTGGTGCCCAAGAGTCAGAACCAATCTTGTCCTCTAAAACAAAAGGGAAAAGTAAATGTGTTTCAAACCATATATGTTTGCTGGTCATCAGTTCATGTTATGATGTATTAAATTAACCACATTTTCAGGTTATCTAGTTTTTGATGCAATAAACTGTTCAAGTCAAGTCCATTTGTTGTATTTAGCATTCTCTTGTTCAACAAAGGCACCTCCTTCTGTGATAAAAATAGAACTGATATTACTCTAAGCCAGCAGGTTATAGCTGTGTTTTATGGGTGCATTTTCCTGGAAATTACCTTCTGTTTTCTACAACCTGCGGTTAAACAGAAAATGTGTTGGCTTGTCGTCAGACAATGATATTTGCTAATGTATTATAACATGAAGGCAATTAATAATTGCTTTCTGTTCCCTAGATGCCTTTAGAGGCCTTATCAGAAGGAGATATTGGAAGGGATCTTTACCCTGGATTCATTGCTATTGCTTCATGCGGGCAAGTGAAACAGAAGACTACATAATTTCGGTAATTCCTAGTTTAAAAGTTAATTTGTTCTACTTTGATTAATTTGTTGTACTTTGACTTTGCATTTCAGTTTGCAAACAAGACTTGCTCACTCTCCAGTTATTTTGTCGTGCTTTTATGATCCCTGAGCAGCATCTTGAAATTCAGAAATCGGTTGTGTGCTTGTCTGCTATTTTATTGTCTCATAAGGCCTCATTTGTTGCACTTTAGATTTCAAACATTAAGTGTATTTATTTTTAAAATCTGAATCTTAATAATTTAGATCTTAATCATTAAGCGTGTTTGTTTTATTACTTCACAACCACTTAATGTGCCTGAACACGTATAGACGTGATCTAAAACAGACTTAATTTAATTAAGATGCTATCATCCACATTCATTATTAATTGCCATTACTGCGTACCATTATCAACTACTACCATGCCACCCACCCCACCACCACCATTCTCAACCTCAAACATACACTTATCCACCTCAACTACTACAACTAACCACCCTATCACCATCAACAACCAGCCGGCACTGTCCACCATTATAAACTACCACCACCCACCATCACCTTCCTCAATCACAATCAACACCACCACCACCACCCACTATTATTAACTATCACCACCCACCACCATCATTCTCAACTATAATTGACATCACTACTAATCACCTACTACCCATAACTACCACCATCAACCAAAACCACCACCAACCACCGCCTCTAGTCGGCATTCACAAGCACCACCGTTGGCCATCACCACCACCAAATACCATATATATATATATATATATATATATATATATATATATATATATTACATTATATATGCTGTTATTTCTTAATAATTAAGTTCTAAAGAATCTGAAGCTAAATAAAATATTGAGGTTGATAGTGAACCAAAAAGTAAGGAAGTAAAATATAACGGAAAGTAAAAAGGGCAGCCCATTGAATTAAGCTCCGGATATGTGCGGAGTTCGGGAAAGGATCGGACCATAAGAGTTTATTGTACGCAACCTTATTCTGCATTTCTGCAAGAGGCTATTTTTACGGCTCTAACCCGTGATCTCCTGATCATATGGTAGCAATTTTATTGATTACGCCAAGTCTCACCTTCTCATATATAATGGAAAGTAGTGCTTTAAAAGATGGGGGCATAAGTTGGGACATTTTTGCCAATCATAAGGTAAGGCACAAACTCCACAAATATTAAAAGAAATTGCTAAGAAAATACGAAAAATTATGAAACTAGCACAAAAAAAAAATGTGCAAATATTAATTTGCATGTATAGACATAATAATATATGGAACATAACACCCATCAAATTCTAGTGAAAAACAAACATTTTATACAAGTAATATACATTATAATTAAACTAAATGTTCTAGACTATGACTGCCCCATGAGCTTGTGGGACCATATATTCACCTGAAAACATTTAGAGTATGTGTCACAACAAGCCAAACAAATTGTATAAAGTGGACGATAGGTTTTTGTATTTTTATGAGAACTTCGGTTGAATTTCACAGTGTAGCAAGTCACAAATACCAAACTTGACCATTTGAAATATTGATGGAAATAATAAAGGAAAAATGATATTGTATAGTCGCTGTAAAAATATAGTCTAAAAAATGTATAAAATTTGTATAGTGTTTGTATATATATATATATATATATATATATATATATATATATATATATATATATTACATTAATTAGTATTTTATTTGAATTTTATGTTTAATAATTTTCAAATAAAGATAAATTTTATATATTCAAATGTTAAAAAAACAAACCGTCTTAGTCATTTAGTATTCAGATCTTAATACACATCTTTATATTCAAATGTATATTCAGATTCAGATGTCTTAATCTTAATACACATCTTGATATCAGATTCAAACGTCTTAATCTTAAAAAATAAATAAATGAGGATAAGCATATCAATTAGCTGTGATGTGAATACTTTGTATTTGGTTTAACAATCAACATTTGGTTTTCTTTTAATTAATTTAAGTTGTTACAGGGTAAGGCCCTCGAGATTTCTTAAGTGTGAATTTGATAAGAATAATCCACTGCAAGACTACTATACCAAAGATTGGTAATAGTGTACGGGCTAACGTTGCAGGTTTGCAGTAAAGCTTTATACATTTCCTCAATAATTGCTGCGCACAAGATTATTTGAAATGTACTCGGATCATAATAAAATGGAACACGTTCATGACATGAAACGATTTGCATCTTTCGTAGCAAAACTGAAATAGGAAAGTTCTTGGGGAATCTCAATGGGTTAATAAATTACAGATGCACTTAATACAAAATGGTAGTTGATTAGCACACTTTGTTTTCATGTTTACCAAGTCCTTGAATAACTAGATTGACTAAATCTATGAATCATGTTGTAGCTTGCATAGTATTCGATATCTGAATAGTATATCACAGGTCAAGCTGGTTAAACTGCTCTCAGTTAATACTTACTAGTCTATTTTCTCCTTATAGTGCTACGGAGATCTACCTTTACAATGTCCTTATTCCCATCCTTTGGCCTTTAGTTCAGCTAGTCTACATTTGCTTGTATGTCCGTGGTGATCTCAATTTGGTGATTTGCAGGTTGCAGAGTCTGCCCTGGGAGCCAGAATACAAAGCTCTGTATTTCACAGGGTTAGAGATGTTGCTCCAAATAAGGTACAAGCTCAATAGACTCAACTTCTTTGGAGCACAGCATTTGTATTGTTTTGATTCACGGGTGTTATTCTATCTTTATGCCCCTGAAGCTGTTGTTTTCCTTTTGTTTTGCAGGCTATGTTTTGTTTAAGCTTCAGATTACCAGAAGAAACGTGCATTGATGATTAAGGTTAAACCATGATACCCTCTCAGGGAAAGAATCGTGAAAAAACAGAATGCACTTTGTAGCTGGATTTCAAGGTCGGAAGAAATGGCACTAATTACTCTATACTGTCTTGATGCGTGTATTGGAGTGCGCTAGCCAAAAGAATCCTGTCCTGCAGAAAGAAGAAATGAGATAAAACTTTGACAGCAGCATCTACCGGCATCCGCGATGTTGTGCCGTCTACCATTTTGTCTTATCCGCTTCCTCTCACATAACACAACATAAACCGGAGCAGGAAACAGGAAATGCTATTATAGCATTTATTTGCGAAATGCTTAACGTTTTAGTTTTTCCTCTGTATTGATTGAGTTGATGCATATTTTACTCCAGGAGTAAATGAAATACTTTTTAAAGTGACTATTCTTTTCATATGAAATCCATCTTTTTTTTTTACCCTGCAATAGGGGCTTTGCGGATGCAGGTCCCCACTGCCACATTTATGACGTTCACTTATCGGCAAACATATCCCCTAAGCCCCTTCTCCTTGATGTATCCTTGTGGAAGTTGACGATGGAATTATCTTTTGGAGGATGTATATCTTCTTGAATAGGAATGGCACCAGAGTGTCGAGACACTTTCCTGAAAATCAAAAAGCTACAAAAAGCTTAAAACTTTGATGAAAAAAGAAGTTTAAACAACAATAAGAAGGATTGCACGAGCCTTTAAAACACGTCGATTTTGGTTGGAAAGTGGGGCACTGTCGAGGATTCTTTTCACTATCCTTGCATAAAAGAGTCAATCCCCCATCTACTAACCAGAAAGTGACAAGCTCTTCAACTTTTCTGGGCCCAGATCTTTTCTTTTACTTTATTTTATTTGCCCCACCGAGTCACATTTGGCATGAGATTTAAAAGAATTATTCTATAGTAAAGGAAAAAAGGGAGTAGGTGCCTGAAAATAAAAAGAAAAGGAAAGAAACTGATATAGTGAGAAATTACCGAAGAAAATGGAAGTGACGAAAGGACTACTAAAGTCGACGTTTAGTTCTTTGGTTACCTGAAAGATCCTAGTCCTTTTTGTTAACACTTTCTTACGACTCAAGCATGCTAAATTCCAGATTTTACTTAGCTATACTACTTTTAAACTTATTATTTTTACAATAAAGTTTTAACTTAAAAACTAGTATATAATTTATTAATTATATACGAATAAGTATTAAATGAATATCCCTTGATATTAGGAATTTATTAGGGAGCAAGTAGCGTATCCAATTTTTCATTATATCTTCGTTGCTCTCTCTCTCTATCATTTCTTCACTTTTCTTCCTTGATAATCTCTGTTTCTTTCTCTTTTCTCATCTCCTTTATTCTTTTTTCTTTAGGAAATTCATCGATGAATCTCAATCGTTGACTTTGGAGTCTTAACTTAGCAATTTCCTTTCATGTTGCACAGTTGGTGATCGAATTGAAATTATCAATCAATAGATTTTGAAGACGTTTGACTCTCCATCATTGACAACCATTAAAAAGTTTCGAAACTTTTAATTCGAATTAAATATTATTTGTTTGAATTGGGGGTTGTTGCAAACGACTGATAATATTCTTTGAAATTTGTATCTCAATTTTGAGGGTGTTGGTGAAGATTAGATTTGAATTTGGCTAAATATCTTATTGAAACTCGAAGAAGAAGAACACATGACATACAATATACATACAAATTTGTATTATAGTTGTATATAAATTATATTTAAGTTGTAATTTGTTGTAGTTATATTTTTTTTATTTGAATGTTGTATGAAAGTTGAAAATTAGTTGTATACTATATGAATCGTTTTATGAATTTTTTTATTTAACTTTTAATACTCTCTTTTTACATAAAGTTATTAAATATGTATCAAATTGCATTAGGAGACGAAATTCTGATTGGAATTTCAGAGGAATAAGAACACACCACATACAAAATATATACATTATATACAGAATACATACAAAAGATATATTATACAAATTTTGTATAAAAATTGTATTTAAGTTGTATGATGTTGTAGTTGTATTTAATTGGGTAAGAATGATGTACGAAATTTGTAGATAAGCTGTATACTGTGTAAGTAGTTGTATGAAATTTATTTTTAGTTTATATGTTGTTGTACATGTAACAAATTTATGCGAAATTTATCTTTAATTTGTGAGTATATTGTTGTATCATACATTATTCTTTCTTACTCAATTTATTAAAGAAAGAAAAGTAGAGAATGAATTTTAAATCGACTCTTGTGCACCGATTCATGTTTGTTTAACTGGAAAAAAATATTGATGGGAAGTAAATAATTTGGGTGGATAAATTTCGAGTTTCACATTAAAAGCACCATCGCGTTTCAAAGAAACTGAGTTTCAAATTTAAATTTTGTGTGAGAAATCAATTGGGTGCATAGAATTTTGTTGGAAATACTAATAGAAAGTTGAATCCGAAGTTTGAAGGTGATTGAATCTGATTTGAAGGTGACTATGGTCTTTTATTTGTACTGGGATTTGTTTCAGAAATGTAATTGGTTGTTTTTCAGCGACGATATGAATTAGAAGGGAGGCGATGGAAAATAGGGAAAGAGGAGAGAGAAAGGAAAATGGAAGAGATAGAGAGAAAATAATCATGCATGTATGCATATAATTTGTAAAAAAAACAAAAGTCAATTTTAATAAATAGCAAACTTTAGATATTTACGGTAAATAACTTTATAATTTAGTACATGAACCAAAAAGTCTCTAATTAAAAGGACCCTAATATTGAAATTTGCAAGTGATGAACAAATTATTTAGGTCATTTGCCGACCAAACATTTTATTTTATTTTTTTTAAAAGAAAAAAAAAGTATTTGTAATCTCCTCGTCCGGTTTCTTCTTTGTAACTTAGATTAGGTTTCAAGTAGTAAGTGTTTACGTGGATCCCAACTGTGAGTGGTAGGAGTAGACAAGAAGAGTCAAAAGGAAGGAGAAAAAAGAAAGTAAAGAAGGAGAAATAATAATAATAATAATAATAATAATAATAATAATAATAATAATAATAATAATAATAATAAAAACAAACAGTAGATAAGCAAAGACTAACAACTTTTATAGTTAACTGAGCTACTACGTACTGATATCTTCATCGATGGAAAGTTGGATTTTCATGAAATTCTTCCCTTTACCTCTCCCGAAAAGAAAGAAAACAATTAGAAAAAGATATTTTCAATGGGTAGCTTTAGGAAGTGCATAATGGCTTTTCCCTGCTCGTTATTAATTTAAATTGATTTCTTTCTATTCTCTTAGACTCTTATCGATTTCTTTTTCTTCATCTTGCTTATGTGAGGTTTCTTCAAAAAGAATTAAGGAGAGAAATTTAAGGTCGAACCAACTTTCAGCTATATAACGATGAGTTTGTTGAGTGTGGGAATTGTAGTGTTTATGACGATGGTGTGGAAATGTTTGAGCGTGGGAGTGAACTGGGGTACTATGGCATCACACCAACTGGCAGCAGAGAGTGTGGTGAAGATGATTAAAGAAAACGGGTTTGATAAAGTAAAACTGTTTGAGCCAGATGATAAGATTTTGAGTGCTTTGATTGGTAGTGATATTGAAGTGATGCTTGCAATTCCTAACTACATGTTGCAACAGATGAGCACTGATCCTGGTGTTGCTGCTGCTTGGATTGATGCCAATGTCTCTACTTATTCTTACACTCGCGGTGTCAAAATCAGGTATGTCGCTGTAGGGAATGAGCCCTTCCTTCAAACATACAACGGCACTTATCTCCACTACACCTTACCAGCTCTCAGAAATGTTCAAGAAGCCATCAACCATGCTGGACTAGGCCCTGAGGTTAAAGCAACTGTCCCCCTAAATGCTGACATTTACTACTCCCCTGACTCAAATCCTCTCCCTTCAGCTGGTGATTTCAGGCCACAAGTACGCGATTTAGCCCTTCAAATTGTCCAATATCTCTACTCAAATGATGCACCCTTTGTGGTTAACATCTATCCTTTCCTCAGTCTCTATGGAAACGATAACTTTCCATTAGAATATGCCTTCTTTAATGGATCAAATATATATATTAAGGATGGTGATCATCTTTATACTAACGTGTTTGATGCCAATTTTGATACTCTTGCCTGGTCTTTGAACAAAGCTGGCTTCCCTGACATGAAAATCATAGTTGGAGAAGTAGGATGGCCAACAGACGGCGATAAATATGCAAATATTGAAAGTGCCAAGAGATTTAACCAAGGGCTAATTCAGCATGCTCTAAGTGGAGAAGGAACCCCTGTGAGAAAGGGAAAAATAGACGTTTACTTGTTCAGCCTGATTGATGAGAATACGAAAAGCATTGCCCCTGGTAGTTTTGAGAGGCATTGGGGAATTTTTGAGTTTGATGGAAAGCCAAAATATGAGCTCGACGATGTTAAAAGACTAGCTGCAGTAGAAGGTGTGAATTATATGCATAAAAGGTGGTGTATACTAAAGCCTCATCACCACCTAAAAGATGCACAAGACTTGTTGGCAAAGAGTATAGATTATGCGTGCAGTCATTCAGATTGCACTGCTTTGGGCTATGGTTCTTCCTGTAATCATCTGACTGCACAAGGGAATGCTTCCTATGCTTTTAATATGTATTATCAATTCAAAAGTCAGAACAGTGGGGACTGTGACTTCCAAGGCTTGGCTACGCTAACTCATAACGATCCATCTGAAGATAAGTGCCACTTTCCCTTGATGATTGCCGATGGTCGTAGAGTAATGCTGTTGCACAAGAATTTTCTGTATATCATACTTGCTTTTCTCCAGGGATTTCTAGTCATTTTGCTGCTTGTTTCCTAGACTAGAGAGGGAATGCTTCCTTGAATATTGGAAACTGGCAAAGCAGCTGATGTTGAAACTCACAAGACATCATTTCCTTTGTTTTGCACCCCAATTAACTTCTGATATTCTTTGACATATAAATCGCAAATTTTACTCTCTGCAGCGGCCAACAAACAGAGTTTTTTTTATTTAATTTCATTTGACTTAACAAACAAAACATAAATGAGAAACCACAATCAAAGAAGTTAGCATCAATCAATATAAGCATTCTAGTAATTCTGTAATTGGAACTGAGCTGGGATAATATATACTACATGAACCTTCTAAAATACGATTACTCATTGGAGATTAAATTGCATAAAAACAAAAAGAACCTCTTATACATAAACAAAAATCATACTATATAAAAACATGAATTGGTCATCCTTAATTAATTACAAATGTTTAAAAATTGACCAAAATTGGATAGAAAAAAACCAAGTGGTGCACTGCCTAACGCAAGTCTATAACTCATGAATGTTACTCTTCAAACCATGGAAAATCAACATAGCCATCAACCATACTCACTTGCTAGCCAGAACCTAACAATTGCTAAATAGCGACGCATTCACTACTGGTAATG